GTCAATATAGTTTTTGTCTCTTTAAGAAAAGCCAGTCCAGTGTTTTACATTTTTAAACTGTTTTCTCCAGGTACCTTCAGTCAGCTTGTCAGCAATAAGAGGGCTGCTTGTTGAGTCTTCGGTTTCGGGCTTGGTAACAACCATGGATGTGAGAGGGGTGACAAAGCTGTACTGCAGGGACATATCCAGGGCCTTGGCTGTTGTGTTGGCTTTCTCATCTGGTGTACCGCTCTTGCTGCCAGAAGGAAAATAAATGTATTACTACAGGGAAATCTTTAAAAGAACATCCAATGATTAAAATGAGCGTCCTGGTAAAAGAACAAGTGTCATCAAAGACTATATATCATCCCATATTTATTATGAGAACAATGTGCCTTAGCAGCCGAACTGAACTGATTTAAACTGACCTCTTGTCCAGCAACTGCTGGACAGTGAGGTAGGCCCACAACCGCTCGGTAAAATCTCCAAAGATGTACTCCTCGTCTGGGTAAAAAACATCCCAGTATGTGGCACTGACTTGACCCTGGACTCTGAAGTCTTCTTCAAGCTACAGGAGAAACAAAAGATCAAATCCATATAAACCAGAGTAAAACAAATAAATATAGGCTATGTCTACTCAATATCTCAATGTTTCTGCCATTTCTTGTGTTTTTCTTTTTTTTTCCTCACCCCCTGTCCAACCACTTCCACCAGGAAGTTGTCAAGGTTGTTGTCAATTAAATGACCAGCCACAACAATCTCTGTGCCATTAAACAAGTGGCTAAAGTGGCTGGTGGTCAGAGAATCCACTGCATTGTCAGGATAGTGCATGTCCACCTCTAAAAGTAGAGGGCTGGCCACTTCGTCGTAGAAACCCTGAAATAAATACACACACTTCATCACTTTTGCTTATTCCAATTTTCTGTTTTAAATTTAGCATGAAATGTTGACTACATAATTCATAGGAATATGGCATAACTGCAGTACTTTAAATGAAGATGTACCAAACATGAAATCAAAGAAAAAATGACAATGTCTGTCTGGCGCCAGAAATCGAACCCACAGAAAAGGGGCCTGAAAGCAGAAGGTTCAGCCTCCCATTCTACTTTTAAATAACCTAGGAACCACAAGTAAGAGAGCTCTAAGTGCTCTACTGAGGTGCTAAATTACTATGAGGTCTTTAAGAGAAGGCGGGGCCTGAGTATTTAAGAGCTTGTATGTGATGTAACAGGGAGCCAATAAAGAGAAGCCAGTACCAGAGAAACATTTTGGATCAACTGAAGTCTTTTAGATAATTTTTTAGAAGTTAGAAATGCATGAACTAGTTTTTCAACATTATTCTGAAACGGGATTTTTGAAATTTCAGAGATATTGCACAGATGCAAGAAAACAGTCCTGCATATTTGTTCAATATGGCTTTCGGACTTTTCTGTAGTTTAAGTAATTAGTGTGTGATAGTGTGTTGATAGATAAAGCTGGGTATCATCTGCATGGAAATGAAAAAGTATGCTATGCCTTCTTATTTTACTGCTTAAGGGAAGCATCTATAATGTAAACAAAATTGGTCCTAGCACTGAACCCTGTGGAACTCCATAATGAATCTTTGTTTGTGAAGAGGAGTCCCCATTTACATGACCAAATTAGAGTCTATTAGATAGACTTAATTTGAACCACTGCAGTGCAGTATGTTTAATACCTACCGCATACTCTAATCACTGTAATTAAATATGGTCAGCAGTATCAAACACTGCACTGAGGTCTGGCAAGACAAACATGGAGATGAGCCCAATGTCAAAGGGCATAAGAAGGTCACTTGTAGCCTTCACTAATGCCATTTCTGTACAGTGATGAGCTCTTAAAGCTGACCAATTTCGCTGCAGATGATCAGTTTATGTTTTTTGACAACTACTATTTCAAGAGTTTTTGAGATAAAAATAAGGTTGGAGATTGGCCTCTAATTTGCTTAGACATTTGAGTCAAGAGATGGCTTTTTGACCAATGGCTTCATTACTGCCAGCTTCAAAGTCTGCACCTATCAATAGAGATAGCTTGACCATATTTAAGATTGAAGCCTTAATTGATGGTAGGATTTATTTAAGGAGTCTTTTAGAAATGGGGTCTTAAAGACACACTGATGGTTTGGAGGAAGTGATTACTGAAGTCAAAAGATCAA